AAAATCCCCCCAACCCTTCTTTTCCCACCGATGTGGGACAAAATGTTTTGCCAAATTCAACAAGCTTCAACACCAATTATCAATCTTGTAGTTTTCTTTTTGATTTATCTCATGAGTGCCTTTCCCCTTTATGATGTACAATAAGGTACCTGGAATGCCTGAGGAGGCTTTTGTAGAGTCTTGTCCTGTTTGTCTACAAAACTGTAATTGCAAAGCTTGCTTGCGGTTGGACGGGCCGATAAGGTTTGGTCTCTTTTGCTGTTCCACCTTTGTTAAGTTACAGTCCTATTTTGCAGGTTAACAGTATAGGTTATGCTCTTATCCAACTATTTCTTGCAGGCTTTGAAGAACTTACAATTTGAGATTAGCAATGAAGAAAAGGTTCAGTACTCTAAATTTATCTTGCAAAAACTTTTGCCTTTCTTGAGAAGATTCAATGCAGAGCAAGTGATGGAGATGGAGATTGAAGCTAAGATTCAAGGTTCTATTATCCTGCTTAAAGATTAAATGCCGTGACAGTGCTATATATTTTTCATTTGATATGCCATATTCTTTTCATTTAGATGACCCCTAGTGTGTATTTTAGATTCTGTTAGGTGATATGTATTGGCACTGCTAGAAAAGATAAAGATAGCCATTATTTGGACAGATTTGAGTTTGAAAGGAGTTGAGATGTTAAACAGGGAATGTTTCAACACACTTGCTGTATTCTAGATAAGAAAGGATACTTTCTTATCTAGAGAGATACTAATTTCTGCAAGAAAAATGAGAGTGCATAACACATCTTCAGCTGCTCCCTATTGTAACTAGAATCTTTCTTGTTCATTTGGGCAGGATTACCAGTGTCAGAGTCAAAGCAGCAGAGGGCGAAGTGACAGAAGAATGCGCGAATGTACTGGTAAGCATGAAGAAACTCTTCTTTCCATGTCAATCTTTTGGATGGTGTTCACATAAATTGAACTGAGCCATGTTTTTGTGCAGCAACAACTGCAAAACATCCATTGCTGATTTCCACAGAATTTGTTCCAGCTGTTCCTATGATCTTTGCCTTACTTGCTGTCGGGAGCTTAGAGATGGTCGCCTTAAGGGAGGTGATGAAGAAGTCATAATGGAGTTCACTGACAAAGGGGTTGCTCATTTGCATGGTGATATGGAACATGATTCTGTACCAGATACCGGAACAAGAATATAAAAAAGGACTAGACTTTCCAAGAAGATGGTTGAAAATGGTGATATGGAACATGATTCTGTACCAGATACCGGAACAAGAATATAAAAAAGGACTAGACTTTCCAAGAAGATGGTTGAAAATGGTGATATGGAACATGATTCTGTACCAGATACCAATACTAAAACTTCAAGAAGGACTAGACTTTCTGAGAAGGAGATGGTTGAAAATGGTGATACGGAACATGGTTCTGTACCAGATAACAAAACTAGAACTTCAAGAAGGACTAGACTTTCCAAGAAGCAGATGGTTGAAAATGGTGACACGAAACATGATTCTGTGCCAGATACCAATACTGGAACTTCAAGAAGGACTAGACTTTCCAAGAAGGAAACGGTTGAAAATGGTGCTATGGAACGTGATTCTGTATCAGATACCAATACTAGAACTTCAAGAAGGACTAGACTTTCGAAGAAGGAGATTGTTGAAAATGATTCCGCTGGAGATGCCAAGTTTGCATCTGAAATGAAACCTAGGGATAATGGAGGGCTTCTGCCAAAGAATTCTGGTGGTCCTGCTGGTGAATGGAAGTCCAATGAAGCTGGTAGCATCCCTTGTCCGCCAGAGAATTTTGGTGGATTTGGTAAGGGCATTTTAGAGCTGAAGCGCCTGCGGTCAAAGTCAAAATATTCGGTCTCTGAATTGTTGACAAAGGCTGAAGATATTGTCAAAAGATGTGAATTGGAACACATGCCTGCAATACCTGAGGGGTCATGCTTATGTATAAATTTAGTTGCTGAAAATGATATGCAGAAAAGTAAATTGCGTAAAGCATCATCTCGTGATGATTCTGATGACAACTATTTATACTGTCCAGCAGCTAAAGATCTTCAGCAGGAGGATCTGAAGCATTTCCAGTGTCATTGGCTGAAAGGTGAGCCTGTCATCGTCGGTAATGTGCTTGAGACTGCGTCAGGGTTAAGCTGGGAGCCCATGGTTATGTGGCAAGCGTGTCGCCAGTTAAAGAACCTAAACCATCCCCTTCTTTTGGATGTCAGTGCTACCAAATGCTTGGATTGGTCTGAGGTCAGTTTAATACTTGCCAATGATACATGAACCAAAGTTCTTTTTTTTTTTTGGG